GTTTATAGTTCTTTAGCCTATTAGTCTTATTTTCAATCTGTATATATGATAATTAATTTTACAGAATTTTTGGGGTTTTTTAATTTTTTATGTATTTGGTACAGGACCTCACTATGCAGCTCGGACTTATAGTAATCCTGCAGTTTCAGCCTACCTAGTGCTCAGATTACAGGCGTCAGCCACCATGCCCAGTTCAGACAGCACAGCATGTGGTACCAGGGATTGAACCTGGTCCTTGTGCTTGCCTAGGCAGAGACTTAGACTGCTGACCTATCTCCGTGGCCCAACTTTACAGTTTTATAAGATAAATAAACGAATCTAATGCAGGAAAAATAAAGAAGGTGGGAAGGGGAAAAAAGGAATTACACTGTGTTAGATACATATAATCATTATGAACTATAACATATACTAATAAAAGTTTTAAGACAAATAAAAACAGGTCCTACATTATGAAAATGCACAAACTTTACAGAAATAAAAATAGTAACTGGTAAATTAGAAACACAAAGCTAGTCCCAAATTTGAAAATTAACTAAATAATCTCACTAAATATTGAATCAGTAATACTAACATTTTGAAAATTATTTCAAGTGACTTTTGAATACAGTACACACTCAGTATATGCCTAGTCTACCTTGAATTTCTTTAGTTGTATATGTGTATAATTATATATATATATATATATATACATTTTACACACATATGTATAGATATAACACAATATTGAGGATGACTAGAGAAACTCAAGATATACTATAGATTAGGCTGTTTGTATCTCTGAATGACTTTAAAGTATGATGTAACAGTGGAGGGAGAATGTTATCTGAAGGCAAAAAATTAATAATAACGACCATACCTACATTGTAGACACAGTATTTATATAATTCATGTGAACTATTTAGATGTTTGAACTCATAAGAATTACAGGAAGGTCTAGGTATATAATATCACCTATGAAGTATTACCTAAAAAAAATTAATCCATAAAGCTTTGTGACACAGCTTTTAATTTATAATATGAAATGCAGCGCACAAGCAAGAAACTAACTGGCACCCCAAGACCGGTAATGGAGTGTCCTGTATGGCAACTGGTGAGCCCTCGCAGCCAGTCAGTGTCCCCAAGGGTGGATGCCACAGGAGACAATCTTGAGAAGGAAAAATCACCAGTGTCCCAGATTTGATATAAGGTTGGCCAAACAATGTTGAGAGATGACTTTGGAGGTCATTGCTAAAATATGGCTATCGCTAGGCACAAAATGAAAATGAGAATTTAGTAATGTGAAAAGATAAATGTCCTTAACTAAACAAACATCAGGTTGCAAAATTATACAGCATGCACATGGAGCATGAGCTTATCTGGGAATAATCATAAATACATGTCCAGTAAGCAATGTGGAAAGGTAAACATTTAGATTTTATCAAATGTGAACTCTGCACCGATGATAATGTAATGCTTTCCTTTTTAAACTTGGGGGGATCTAGGTATCTCCATTTTCTACAATGTTAATGTATATAAGAAAAGACATGTTTTATCTTTAAAACCTTTAGAAGAAAACTGAAGAGAATATCTTTATAACCCTGGAGTAGGAAAGTATTATTTATAAATGACCCCAAAAAAAGCCCACAAAGCATAAAGGACAATTTAGAAATACTACTACAGTAAAATAAAGTCTATCATGGAAAGACAACAGAAAAAAATGAGGTCAAGCCACAAACCAGAAGGCATTAATATCTGTAACAAAATACAAACTAGGGGCTGGGGAGATGGCTCAGTAGAATAAGTGCTTGCCTGGCAAGCACAAGGGCCTGAGTTCAATCCCTGGCTCTGGAAAAAAAAAAAAAATCAAAATACAAACTAACAAAAGGTGGCAATATGGAATAAATAACTTTCATGACTCCCATGACTAAAATCTTAGTAGAAAAATTAACAAAAGTTACCAAGTCATATCACTTAAAATGATACACCAGTTTGTAAACCTATTACAAACAATTAAGGCCACACAAATTAAAACAGTGCGGCATAATCCCATTCACCACATTTTCATAAGTAAACGCCAGTATCAAGTGCCAATAAAATTTTAGGCAGCAGAAACTTTCAGACATTATCAAGAAGAGCATAAACTGTTTCAACCTCACCTAAATAATTTGCCATTGTCAGTCTGAACACTCCCACTGCACTCTATCCACCAGTTCCATTTCTAGATCTATATTTAGAGCAAAAATTTACCAACTCTGGATAGTGACTGTTTCCGTTACTTTTCTCTTGTTGCTGGGACAAAATACCCAACACCCAAAATTAAGGAAGGAAAGGTTTATTTAGCTCACAGTTAATGGTGGTTTCCATCCATACTCAGCTGGCTCCAAGGCAGAGTGGCCCATGGCAGATGGCAGCAGTTCATGGTGGTGGAAAACAGCAAAACCCAAGAGCAAATGGGGGGAGCAGGGGCAACAATGGCAACAGGGAGCAAGCCTGTCTCCCTTGTCTTGCATTCAGGCTGTCTGCCCAGGCTGGATGGAGCACTCACACCCACAAGCCCGGCAGCACTCTCTCCCATAATCCCATGAATTAATAGCAATCCCATGAATTAATCGCAAACTCTAGATGGCCACCACAGAACTATATGCTAACCATAACAGTGACTTACTCAGTTGAGTAGTTTCTAATCAGCATTTTCCCATAAAATAAAAAGGAACAGAAAATAAAATAGCAGGAAAAGAAAAGAAAATACCAATACGCTTGCTAGTGGATTACAGTACTGCCTTATAAGCATTTATACACACATAAAAAATGCACTTCCTTCTGTGGGTTCATGAGCCAAAAGCTACTAGTCTACAGGAAAACTAGGACATGAGCTCTAGGAGACTCAGAGAGAGGCAAAACCAGGAGAAACTGAAAGGTTGTTTCTGTTTTGTTTTGTTTTATTTTGTCTTATGTATTTGGTACAGGGTCTCACTACACAGCTTGGACTCCTAGTGATCTTCCCGTTTCAGCCTCCCCAGCACTGAGATTAAAGGCATGTGCCACCACACCTGGTTTCAGTGGCCAGCTCAGCACACCCTGGGTCAGGGCCGGCGTGGCATGTGGTGCCCAGGATCGAACCTCGGTCCTTGCGCTTGCCAGGCAGGCGCTTAGACTGCTTAACTATCTCCACAGCCCTCAAAGATTCTTTACATGTAGAACAGAGAAGTAACTTGTGGCACCTGGATGAAAAAGAAACTATAAAACAGTGAAAATAAATGGAGCACGCTTCTGTGTATCAACACCAGTGTTTCTTAAAAACAACATTAACCCAAAATGTCACAGAAAAAAGCAGTATCAATCTATTTATATAAAGAGGTCTTCTAAAAACGCAATTGTAGAGATTTAACTATTTTTAACTCACAATGCTGGCGGGCACGGGCTCAGGGGAGATGATGAAAGGCTTCACAGGTTCCGCTCAGCTCTTCAGCTGAGGGGAAGCGCTGGATTACTGACGGCTCCAAGCAAGTCCCTTCACCGCTCTATGCAGATCTGAGTTGTGCCTGCTGCACCCAGTACCTCTCCTCAGCTTACAAACCATTCTGAATTATGCTTCCCACTACTCAGTTAAAGACACCTGAATAGGTAGTCCCTTGATTTGGGGGCAATTCCACAGGGATCTGACTCAGGAGGAGCCTCCACCTCATCCTTTCCCTTTTGTCTCATTTTGTCACTAAAAATCTCACAGTATCAGTTATCTCAACTACAGAAAAATATCAAAGGAGAGGGGCCCGGAGTCCTCAAATATAACGAAATGATAAGGCACTGCGAATACCAGCTGCCCCGATTTGATCAGTGCAGAGTACAAGTGAGTGTTCAAACACCACACTCCCCCATGGATATGGGCAGTTATTGCATGTTGATAAAAAAAACTTAAAGAGCCTTCTGCAGCCAAAGGAAATGCAGTAAGAAGACACACAAATCTAGTTTTTTAAAAAGAAAGAAAAGATCTGCTTGAAAAGAGGCAGCTGTCATTGAAACAGTTCACAAGGACACCAAGGACAATCAAGAGTTTAAAAATCTATAAATCATCAAAGGGATGCAAAGCCCCAGGCAGGGAGCAGCTCCACAGCTATGGGCTGGAGGGCAGTGGGAGGGCAGCCAGCAGCAGCCTGGGCCCCAGGAGCTCTCCAAGGACAGAACCGAGGGAGGGAGCAGGGAGGCACATTTCAGAGCAGGCACAGTCCTGCTGTGCCAGCAGACAATGAAGGACAACAGCTTCTTTGGCTGATCCCGCACTGGAGAGGAAATAAGACTTCCATCCATCCAGCAGTGTAGAGAAAAAGGTAGCTAAGGAAAAGGGACAAGAAAGGGCACGCGCGCACACACACACACACACACACACACACACGCTCGTGTGTGTACACACACGTGCCACTTATTCTATACACCAGGCACTTCACCTCATTAAACACACCATGAAGCTCAGCCATTAAGTATATTATCTCAGTCTTCTAAACCACTCCACAAAGGCAAGTCTTACTTTAGAAGTGAAGATGGCAATACTCAAGATAGATTTAATAAGCCACCAAAGGTTGCCTGCTATAGGTTAAGAGAGCAACTGGGATCCAAATTCAAGCCAGTCTGACTCGAAAGCTCATGCTCTTTCCTGGACATCCAAAGAGGAAGAGGCACTACAGAACAGCTCGGGCTGGGAGCGAGCCCCAAGGCTGCCCCTAGCAAGCTGACCATCTGCTGCTATGTGCGACATGCCACACAAGGAAGACACACACTCAGCTAAGCTCAGCAGGATCCCATCACGAGGAGGTATCCCTTGTGTCCCAGCAACCTTGATGCCCAGGCCACCAGGCATAGCACTCACCTCCACCAGCACACCAAGATCCCCCCACTGTGTAAATGGTCACAGAGGAATAAGGTTAAACAGGCTGGCTCAAGGCAGCTGAATTCCAAGTGCTCCTAGTGCAGATTCACCCTGAAACCAACCATAGGCTCTCCCCCATCCTGGCAGGGAGCTGCATTACCTAACGTCCAGCAGTTGACATCCTGTAGGAGGAGGGTGCTGCCATAGATGGCGTGCATGTATAGGAGGTGGACCATCAGCTCGGCCAGTGTCCACCAGCACAGCAGGCGGCCCAGGCCTTGGGCCAGAATGCAGAGGCTGTCCTTCAGCGAGCAGAGCTCTGGCTGCTGCATCTGGCACAAAAACAGAGAGAAGGCATTAGCTTGTGGTACAATTTCTAAAATAGTGTCCCTTCAATAATGTTTTTACTAAACTCTCAAAAACCAGACTGCTGTCGCTACTACAAAGAGTTGGGTTGCTTTAACTTAGGAACACTCAAGGTTCTTGGATAAAAATCATTCCAAAGAAGAGGAGGCCAATAAGCTGCCCCAGTTACAGGAACTGTGACAAGTCCTGCACCCACCGCTGGGCAAGAGCCCTGGAAAAATCTAGGGTGGGAGAGAGGCACTCAGTGTATTCCCGGCCATGGGACTCAGGCCCACAGACTCCACATACTGCACAGGCTGTCTTCACCCATCACCCATCACCTACTGCTGTCTGTGGCTAAAGCAAAAAGAGGCACAGGACTGGTGAGAGAAAGGAAGAAGGAAAAATAGAGCCAGGAAGTGAGAGGAAGAAAATTATGAGTCTCTCTGTGTGGTTTTACCTCAAGTTGTTTTTGAAACAAGACAGGGGACAAACGTTTTGCTCAGCAGCAATGTATCATAATGGTTCTGAACACAGGCTTTAGTCAGATTCAATCAGGACCAAATTCTATGTCTTGGTTTCCTTTTATAGAAAGTTGAGAAAACTTGACGATGATTAAATATATAAAATATGCAATGCACCTGGGTCAACATCTGGCACAGATGCATAGATGCACCAGGTGACTACTGCATGTGTCCTGTGTGTACCTTCTTTGCAGTCTTCCTCATAAGCCCCAGAATCCCAGCCACAAGCAGTAACAGGAAAGAGATCAGAGCCAAGGCATAAAGTGAGAGGGAGTGTTTTGATTGCTCACAGGTGAAGTACCAGACAGCATCTCTTATCCAAAATGTCTAAGACCAGAAGCATCCCAGATTTCAGAATTGAGAATATATGAATGTCACTGGTTGAGCATCCCTAACTTGAAAGTCTGTTCAACACTTTGAATTTTGGAACAGTTCTGATTTTGAGGTTAGGGATGTTCGATCAGCACTGAAAGTGAATGCTAATTACACAGGACAGGATAGACAAAGACAGTGCTGCCAAGGCAGCCAGCTTTGCAAGCAATGCCCAGCAATTTAACAGAGATTCTAGGGGGCTGCCCCTTAGCTCAGTTCTTTAAGTGACTGCTTCAACAAAGCTGGCAGGCTCAGGTTGCTGTGGTTCAAGCCCCACAACTCAAGCCAGCCAAACCTGCCCTGAAGGCATTCGGAGCAAATATAAATATATAAATAAATAAATAACAGAGATTCTAGTATTCATAAACACACTATAAAATTTGAAGTCAATTAAATTTCACTCTTACACCACTAGACAAACACACAAAAAGCAAGAAAAAACAGCATCTCACAGGAATGAGATTTCAGGAGGCTGAAGTAGGGAGCATAGCCATGCTGGACCTGAGCCAACTCGTACACGTGGCTACTGAGAACATGGACTTGACTTAGAGTTGGACCTCTAGGCTCATGACACTAAGTAAGTGAGAAACGCCACTACTAGTTCACTAGTCAGTGCAAAGAAATGGGGAGTCCTCCACTCAGGTGGGTTCTTGAACTTCAGGGCATGTGAGTGAGAGACACAGTCAGAGAGTTAGAAAATAGGAAAAGGTCGTGAGCTGGGGGAGCGCAAAGGGCGCACCGCTGATGGAGGAGATGAGACTGACCCATGAACTGGATTTCTTGTGGATCTCCTGGGACGGGCTTAGGTCTGGGTAATCATTATCTCAGCGCTGGCTTTGCAAGATGGAGCCAGAAGTTTTACTTAGCCTTGTCCAGGTTCCATGAGATGGCTGTTCTTGGGACAGTCTCAGTCTTCCAGAGATTCTGCTGAAATCCACAGTGATCACAGGGCAACAACTGGAGAATCCCAGGTGCTCACTGGTGGCTGCCTAGCTCTATAAAACTCTTACCCTAGTGTTTGGTCTTGAAAGGGACTAGAAATTTAAGGCAAATCAACCTTGTTTGCTAGCTTTTAAAAAGCCATGCCTTACATGATTACCATGCCTACACAGGCAGCTGAACAAGGTTCAAACCCAAAGTGTTAGAGTAATAAAGCAGACAGACACCTGTAGGACCAAGTGTAGAGGCACTATTTTTTTTAGCTTTTTTTTTTTTTTTTTTTTTTAGCAAAATCACTTTTAAGTCCCTGAATGCTTCAGAAGAAAACACATATCCTACTTCTAATGAGTAACTGGAGAGGGGTCCAGGAGCCTGTGTGTCCTCTGTCCTTATGGTGGTCTCTATGACACTAGGAGCCTGAGGCACCTCCACAGCTGCTTTCTGCACTAGCAACCCAGTGAAACAGCAGGCACTGCCCGCAGAGGGAACAGGAGACCCCCTTGCAGGGGAATTTACTTTTATTCTTCTTTTAAGCTTCTATCCTATCACCTCCTAAAAGCATCTCCCTAACACCAGAAGCCAGGCTAGGGAATTCTGCTGGCTCCGGGGCATCACAGTAAGTTGCCAGGGTGCTGTTCTCAGTGTGCCTCGTTACTGCCTATACCACTCACTCTTAGCATCTTTGAATGGAAATGCACAAAACTGACTTGAATCACAGTAACTTCAAGGACAGTCATGCAACAGTGACCCAAAGCAGGTCCATGTCTGGGCATAAACTGAGACCTGGTTCTTTCCCGCCAGTGCACATACACAGAAAGGCCCTATGAAGTCCACAGCAATGGGTCTACAAGCCAGGGCATCATGACAGCCTCAGGGCAAAGCCGCCTACTGCCAGCTCATGAACGTCTATGCTATTTAACTAAGGAGAAATAAAAAGAAAGCCTCAAGTATCCAATAGTAAGGGCTGGTTAAATGCACAAGTACACTTCAGTATTATACACCACCACAAGAGAACTATTTTTACTCAACACAAATAATGTAAGGAAAAAGTGGAAAGATATACACCAAAAATGACAACAGGGATAATCTTCAGATTATTTTTTACATGTTTTCAACAATTTAAATGAACTATTTTTGTAATCAAGATGAAAGTAAAACTGAAAGTTACAGACCTGTCTGCCAGTGAGCAGGCACATTGGGGCTGCGCTGTTTGCATCTCGCCTCTAACACCGCCAAGGCTCCCAGCATCATTTTCTTCACGCTGTACTAACTTCATCTTTCTTTATCCTCCACCTTTTTTCCAGCCCTCAGAAGCAAATTCATCTTGACATAATGAGGGGCAACAAATGAGGAGCCAGGAACAAAAGCAACACTATGGTCTCCATGTGTGTGTCCCTCCCCCTTGAAGTCCCAGCCCCTTCTCCCCCACCTGAGTGATGGTCTTTGGGACCGGAAGTGGGGTCTATAGGGGTGATGAGATCAGGACAGTGGAGCCCTCAGAGGGCCAATGGCTGGCTGTGCCACGTGCAAGGCCATACTGTGGAGGTGCCACGCTGTAGGCAGGAAGTGGGCCCTTGCCAGATGCCAAGTGTGCTGCTACTTGGATAGTAGACTCCCTGCCTCCAGAGCTGTAAGAAATCAAGTTTGTTGTTTGAAAGCCACCCCATTTATGGCACTGGGTTACAGCAGCCAGAGTGGACTAAGACATGTGGCATCTGTGTAAGTCCGGAAGAGCTTACACCAAAGCAACTGAGGCCAAGAGGTGAAGAAGCACCAAAATCACTCTGGCTCAGTAGACGGGCCTTTCCTGGTGCCCGCTCTCTCAGGCAAAAGCACGCTGCCTGCTTAAACACAACAACAGCCTCAAAGCAGTGTTTACAGAAGATGATCTTTTTTTTTTCTTTTTTGGCATTGTATTTTAAAATGTCATTTCATGCACATTGCATAAAAGGGAATATTGAAGACTTCTCTCTCAGAAACATTCTGATGAGTAAAGATGACAGTCCTCAAAGACGAATGGTCTTTTCTGTCACCCACAGAAAAGTAATACCAGCAAGCACCAGCAAGCACAGGCAGGAGCCTCGCTGCCTCAGAGCAGGACAGATCTTCTATACCCCTAGTCTAAGCCATACCTGCTCCCAAGCAGCCCTCACTGCCCTGCCCGCAACCCTGCCAGGCTGGTGGCTCACTGTGGTCCTTCTCAGACAGTACCTGGGGCCTGCAGCTAGAGTTGCTGTCACTGCCTGGGACCTAATCCAGCTGGCTGCTGCCTCCAAACATGCACATGTACTCCACCACCCTCTCACCCCTCTAACTGCTGTTGCCCAATTCAGCATGCCACAGCCCATTTCTTACTCCTCCTTGGCCTGCTCATCTATGAGGTGGTCATACCATCATCTCCCTCATCGAGTTATCTGGGCATGAGCGAGCTAGAACACAAGAGCCAGCCTGGAGTGAGTACTCCAGTAGTGTCAGCACCATCTGGTGCTCTTCTGAGCCGGAGCCACCCTTCAGCCACCCTGAAGAGGTTCAGGGACACAGCCTGGCCCTTGCCAGCCACTCAGCAGCTGCCTAGGTCCTCCAAACAGATGGAGCCAGGACACTAAGCTCCTCAGAACCTGAGGATGGCCACTGCCAGAGTTCTTGCCGCTGTGGCCTCCAGCAGGCTGGATAGACACCAGGGCACTCCTGGCCTAGACTGACCATAGAATTGCCATATACTTTTGCCCAGTAGTAACAACAACAGTAGTAATAAATAACCCTTTATAGTGCTCATGTCTCAAGCTACACTGATGGCACAAAATGCACCTGGTCATTACAACAACCCTGCAAGGGAGGTGCTGCTGCTGCATACTTCACTGCCAGTGTGCAGATGAAGGGACTCCCTGCCGCTCTCCAGCCAACGCAGAGCAGGGATCCTAACATGAACCCAGGGGCTTGGGCTCCAGAGCCTCCGGACCCCAGCTCCATGCCCAGCTCCAGACTGAGCACTGGCAGGGGAGCCCCAGCTGCCTCTCAGGCTCACCCTCCCCTCAGCAGCCCCCGCCACACACACACACACCCCGTGCAAAGGACACCACGCAAGCTCTCAGCTGAACACCTGAGCAGCAGGCTGGCCCTCTCTGGGCTCCACCTTGCCACAGTTTAGGATCTGAATTCCACAGCAGTGTGGCCAAACTGCAGCTCATGTTCTGAAACTCCAAATGCCATCAGAAACAGCCTTGCAACACGTAAGACTCTGACCTGTTTGTAACTGGAGAGTGCAAAGTTTACAGATCTTAAATGACAGAGGACGCTTCCTTACCACTCTCATCTCACATATGGAGATGTACATGCCAAAAGCGTGGGGGAGGGTGGCACTTCCTCCAGGCCAGACCCCCACTCTGCATCACCTGGAGCTGAGTCTCTGCACCCTGCCGGTCCCTCCCTGTTGGTTTAGTAGTGGGGCTTTGCTGCCCTCTGGTGGGGACGTCCCATTCTCCAGTCTATGCTGCTAAGCATTGGCCTGGTAATCTAAACATGAACCTGAATTTCAGATTGCCTGTCCTCAAATCTGAGGATTAGCACTTTGGCTCCCCTCTTCCTGCAGGGGTCAAGAACCCTACAGGACCGGTGGCAACTGCAGAGACCTCCTGAGTCATGTTTTCTTTGTCCTGTAGCGTCTCTTGACCATTCCCCTTTTCTCAACTAACTTCTACACCTTTCCAAATTCCTTGGATTCTGCATTTGCTGTGTTTTGGAAGGAGTAGGAAGAGAGGAAAGAGCCATAAGTATAACCTTGAGTCTGCAGCTGAACCCCAATAGGCAAATGTTGACCCCTCACCCCCTTTGCCTACCCAGGCTGAGATTTAAGAGACTGAGAGCCCTTGGCTGAGAATTTTAGTGAGCAGTCATCTCAGAACTGGAGGGACCCAAAGACAGACTTCTGATCCTCCTGCTGGGTCCTGATGGCCACAATTCAAAAGGAGATGAAAGACAAAAACTATAGTAACTGGGCTGGTGAGATGGCTCAGTGGTCTAAAGCACCTACTTAAAACAAGCTTAGCAAAGCACA